TGTTATTGTGCATTCTTCCGTCAGTTTAGGCTTGGCGACTTAGCTGGTTTAGCTCGAAGGCTTAACCGCCTCGAGCGAATGTTAGAAATAAACCTTGCCGGTTCTGCTGCCATGGCATCCCTTTTGTTATTGTGTATTCTTCCGTCAGCTTAGGCTTGGTGAGTTAGCTGGTTTAGCTCAAAGGCTTAACCGCCTTGAGCGAGTCTTCTGCCCTGTTGATCTGCTCACGGGATGGCACGAGCATTGTGGATCACGGCGGCGCAAAGTTAGGGGTCACATCCCCAGTTTCCTTCTACAAGTCTGATAAATAGAAAGGAGAGAATGCAGAAAAGCAGTGGAAGTTTAAGCAGCGAAAAAACATTGTCTTCCACCTCTGCTCATTGCTAGCTTCGCAATTAGAACTGACAGTAGTGTTCCACTAAGCACCTAGGCAGCTGCCAAGACAGTATTTACAACCCTGGTCATCCTCACACCAGATGTTTTTGTCAGTTTGGTCATCCTCACACCAGATGTTTTTGTCAGTTTAGGCATATTTGCGATGGTACTGAGCTAATTTTCTCAGAAATATTACATAGTGAGGTTAAGCTGCACCGTCATTAATAAGCACCTGAATAGAACTAGCCTTAATGTTTAATATATTCACTGAAGTAACCATGGGTAAGCAATAGCAACACACACCTGGGGTTTGGATTTCCCTTCACAATTTTCTGCCCATACTTACGCCATCTGTACCCATCGCTCATCTTCCCAGCCTGCACGATAATCTTTCTCTCCCTGACAGTTCGGAGAACTGGAGTTAAGTTAGATGTTGTGGCTTCAACTATCCTGTTCAAAGAACAATATAATAAAGAAAACAATGGTAAGAACAACTAAACAACGAAAATATGAGTATATGAATGGCACAGATAGTGCAACAGCACAATGACCTTCGCTTTGGCTGCGACTCTGCACTACGATGTTCATCTTCTGACTTGTTACCAACATCCCCTTCACAATCACTTGAGCAAAAGAGCTGCTGTTCAGAATTTTCGATGGCAGCACTCTGGTTTAATTTACATGTCGGTGTACGGGATTCCACAATTTCAGTGTTCACAAGTTGCAGAGTTCCATCACGTATGGGGGGAACATAAATATGAAGCGACCTCTCTTTTACAAATCTGGTCTTCTGTGGTGGTTCATGACTGTGTGCTCCTCTATATATGATTTCTATAACACGGCCATCAGGACAATGCTCAACTTTCTTTTTGGCCAAACAACTTGAATTTGTGCATCTATAGTAGCTCCTAGAATTATCACTACTTTTCACTTGCTTCTGACCATATTTCCTCCAATTGAAGCCATCACCCACAATATTTACAGCTGCATGATGTTGCAATTTTGACTCAGATGAGGATGGCCTCTCTGCAATTGGTCTTCCAATACTTCCTTGAGTTACTGATGGTGCTTGCTGCAGTGGCCGAATAGCTTTAGGTGTTATAGGATGTGGAAATGGACTCGGCAGCCCTTCTGAATATGCAGATGAGGCTGGTGATTGCAATTGTATATGTGCCTGAGCTGTAACACTTGCCAAAGCTGCTTGATGGCTCATTGCAAACTGGCCCTGTTTTCAAAAAGATAATATTTTACAAGTCCAATGAACAAACCAAAATAAAGGACAATGACTGGAAAAAAGATGATAATATAATATGGATCCATTCACATACAAACCCAAAGGTTCTTTTAAAAACCTATGTAGTACTGCATTTCTGTGATCTACTAGTATTAAGACAATAAGCATGTACGGTGACAAACAATGTATATTGCAACAACTACAAAGAGGTGCAAGTATACGACTAATTATACCTCCCATACTTATACAATTAGTGAATTGATATTGCTCCTTGAATCAAGCACACACTTCTGCTAAATTTATTGTAATGTTTTTTATTCAACATTATGAACTTAAGCTGCATATGCATATCTATATGTCTTCTCCATTGGCCAAATCATGAGACTTTCCTAGTACAATTAAATTGCAATTGCAGGATAAGCTGAAGTTCACAAATTTTGTTTTGTAACTTGTGTCCGACAATAGATATCAACACTTCTTCAACAAACAACCTAAGTACAGAAAATACCATAAGGATCGTCTAAACCTGAGAACTGAAAACACAACCAATCTATGTGCTTTGATAGTTTAACCCTAAGGAATTCTGCTTCTTTGACAGTATTGATACCAACCCAACCTTCTCACCAAATATGGCAGTAGCAACAATAAGCAGAAACGGTGACAGAGTGATGACTAAATATGTTGCAATAAAAAATCACGCAAACACTATCTAGCCCAACTACATGAGTTCCAAAACATGGCCACTAGTCTCCACCTCTTCTAGATCGGGCACCCGGAAATTATGAACTACGAATATAGAAACAAGCCCACTCCTGATATCTGCAGAAGGAACCTAAGAATGGCACATGAGTTATGAAACATGCCCACCAGTATCCACCTCGTCTAGCACCATTCCTGAAACCAACTATCACATGACAGATCACCATACTTCAGTTAGTTGTTGGTCCTGACTGCCGAACAAACTAGGTTCCAAAAGCACTAAACACAAATTTCAAAGTACGCCACTGTTTCAGTATCAGCGCTAGCACTAACCATATCTTCCCAAGCGACTGAACACCATACCGTGTTTATCCTTTATTTAGTCCAGACACAACCTGAGCAGGCCGTACCCATAACCATGATAACTCTAAACTTCAAACGCATTCAATGCATCATATGCAACCAAGACAGAAACTACACACGCACCGCAAACCCTGGAGGAGCTATGAAGCACGGCACGGCCAACATCGGCACCGCAAGGATGGGGGGAGCCTCCGTCCCAGCTCCGGTCGGCCGCAGCGTCGCCTCGATCTCCACATTTTCGTTCTCCTTCTCCACTTTCACCTTCACCTCTTTCTCTATCTCCTTCGGCCCCGACTTGCTCACCTCCTTCACCTGCGTCTCCGTCACCGCCTTCTTCTCTGGCTTCGTCTCGGCCGGAGACGCCTCGGGGGCTTCCGGCGGCGGGTGCTTCTCCATCTCGGCTGACGACGCCTCCGGGAATGGATGTTTATCCTCTGCCGGCGCCTCCGGCTCGCCGTCGGCCATGGGAAGCTCGAAAGGGGAAGGGAAAATGCTAGGGTTTGGAAGAGTAGGAGGGTTCGTGAGGGAGAGGAGGTGGGGAAGGGGAAGGGGAACTTTTGACTAGAAATGACCCGAGGGGTGGGTTAGAGCAACTCTGGGAAACGCCGCAAATCTGCCAGTCGAGCGAAATAACGGCAAATTTGACATGCACGAAATAACGGCAAATTTGACATGCACGAAATAACGGCAAATTTGACATGCAGACGGAATCAAATCACTGAAACTATTTCACGCGGCTGATTTTTTGTGTGACACGGGACATGAAGGCGCCACACTACACGCCTGACCAGCGTTATACCCCAGACTACCTAAAAATTGCTAAGTCATTGTGCAGAGTCTAAAAGCTAGACGTTGCGTTGTATAGTGTGGCGTCTAGCTCTCAGGCGCTGCACTAGTGATTGCACTACAAAATGAAACAACCACTAGTGCAACGCCTAGAAGCTAGGCGCTGCACACTGACTTAGTAATTTTTGGATCACACGGATGCGACGCTGGCCAGGCGTGTAGCGCTTATCTGTGAGGCGTTGCACAGTGTAGTGTGGCGCCTTCGTGTCGGGCATCACACAAAAAGGTCAGCCGCGTGAAATAGTTTCACGGACAGTTCATTCTGTGATTTGATTTCGTCCATATGTCAAATTTGTCAATTTTGCCCGAAATAACTGCAGACATACGGTACCGGAACGGAAAAACGTCACAAACCCGGAGGATGGTTGAAAGGCTCGCTCCACTCCGCACCACTTCCCCCGCTCCGCCCGCCGCCACCGCCCTCATCGAGGCCGGCGACGCCAAAAGCCCGTTCCCCCTCCTCGCCGATGGCCCACACCCGCAGATCTACCGGGATTTGGCTTGGGGAGGGGAGGAGATTCAGGATCCCACTCCCGAGCGTGTACAGGCGCTTCCGAAGATGTTGCGGGCGCTCTCAGCGGTCTCGCCGGAGGTCCTGCGGGAAACAAGGGAGATGCGATGGAGGGAATAAGCAACGCGGATCCGCGACGACACCCTCTCCTGGTCGCTATGCACTCGGGAATGGAGGGAAGCTGGAGGATGCAACGCAGGATCCAGATCCTTCCTCGATACCCCAGCGATATGATCTGATCCGCAAACCTCGGGCGAATCAAGAGCTGTGAAACCTAGCATGGAGGATCTACTTCGAGGGCACGGCGGAAGAGAAGCGTCGTATGCCACACCCATCAAAACCTCCAGAGGCTTTCGTCAATTGTGCGCGGAGCGAGGGGAATCGGAAGATCCACTCCGGGCTGCGAGATGGGAATGCATCACGAGGCTGATGTCGTCCAGGAGCCCACCGGAGTTGGAGCAGATAGACCACCTGCTTTTCCTATCTCCTGCAACAGCGTTGGAATAGCTCGCACGCCGCCTGCAAACCCAGAGGTAACACAAATTTCACGAAGATCAACAACACTAATTTCTACGGATTCAGTTGCCTCAGGCCTCAACCCCAACACCATCGGGGCAGACGATAGATTGCTTGGCGGTTCCATGCTAGTGAGCAACTTTGCAAGGTGTAGTGAAGAGGATATCAATTTCCTGTCAGCCAACATTTGGAAGGTGCCTGGTAACTATGGTGAGGAACTGCGACTTTCAGCATATCATAGACATCACGACTGTGGGCGAGGGAGAGCAATTCCTCAACTCTGCTCGACTACTGTGAGCTCTGTAGTGGATCAGAGGAGGTCAGGTTGGGTTGCTCCTGATGCCTCTATTTTTGGAGCTCCAGGCCATGACACTAGAGAGCAAAGTAATGGAGCTCTCCTGGTCTTGGATCAGTCCCCTGATGTCACAGGGAAGAACAGAGATCATGCGCCTGATGACCCCAGCCTATGTCAAGAGATTTATGTCGACATGAATCCAACTCTGCTGGTGATGCAACGCGTGTGAGGTTTCAAATTCATTTAGGGACGTAGTTGTGCGAAACCTCAAAAGCAGAAAAGGGGGCAGGTGGAAGACAACTCATCTGGTCCCGTGTCGTGTGGGCTGGATGACTCAACGGAAGAATTCCACCGTTAGTTGTGGTTGCCTATAAAGGTAGGAGGGAGAAAACCCTATCATAGCCAAGAATCCCTCCCTCTCCAACCTTGTCGCCGCCAACAAGCAAGGAGAGATGGCTGACGGTGGACGAGGGCGAGGAAGGAACAAGAAACAAGGAGTCGTGGTGACAACTAGGGAAGTGGCCATGTGATCAGCACCTGATGCAGCCGCCGCCGGGCTAGCCTCCTCAGTTCTTCAGGTATGGTTTTCAAGGGGGGGCATCGTCGTGGAACTTCCATGGTCAGTTCCCTCAGCCGTACCCTCAACAACAATGGGGGTGGGCCACCACAACAATGGTTTGGACCTGTCCCACCACAACAAGGAGTGTTGCAAGATCAGGGGGCTCCTGGTGCCACCGCAGACCACAACAACAACTCTACTGGAGGGCAGAGCAACTCGAAAAATCAGTCCAAGAAGAAGAAGAAGAAGAAGCGGGTCTTGCCAACTGCCTCGGCATCTACAGGTCTGATGTCCTACTCTCAAGTGTTTTGTTATGGCTGTGGTGAACCTGGGCATCATGTGGACAAGTGTGTCAAGCCAAGAAGTTGTTTTATCTGCAAGATGGCCAACCACAAGGTGGAAGCTTGCCCAATCAGAAAGAAAACCCACACATCTGCCAGGTATGTGGGGAGTGCTGCCCCAGGGCTTGGCTTCTACCATGTGGATGCTCCAGATGTCAACTCTCAACATCATGGAGGACTGAAAATGTGGGTATTGCGCTAGTGGAAGCTGGAGAGGTATCTAAACAAGAACTGGCAAAAGAATATGTTGACATTTACAAGACCAACTGGCCATGGCCTATCAATGCTCTGGATGAATGGTCTTTCTTAGTCAAATTTCCCCTAGAGATTGATGTGGAGCAAGTGGCTGGCTACCTTAGTTTTGGTCTGAAAAAAGAAAATGTGCTGGTCAATGTTGAGGTTTGGAAAGGCAATGTGGATGCTGAAGATGGTTTACATGAAGTGTGGATCAAAATCAGGAAAATGAACCCAAAATGATATGATTGGAATATGTTGGACCAAATCACTTCTACTCTAGGTGTGCTAGTGGACGTTGATTGGCAACATAATTTTCAGTCATTCTATGAAACAATTAGGGTTAAGATCTCCTACAAAGACCCTTCCAAGATCCCAGAAGAGAGACCATTTGGCATCATAGGCAAAATCTATAGATTGTTGGTTGAAGTAGAACCAACTCCTAGCAATGCAGAAGGGGATACTGATTCTGAACTTGCTACATCTACTCAAATCTCCATGGGATCTGGGAATAAAGGGGATAACTCAACCGATGGCAGATCTCAGTCTGGTTCTAGGACTGGCTCTGAATCTGGTTCCCTCACTAGCAATGGAAACACCAACCCAAGGACGGAACCTTTAGAACACAATCACTGTTGAGGATATTACTACTGGACATAAACCGGCCAGGAGAGGCCGAGTTATCCTCGTGATGATCACCTTATTTGAAACCCATGAAGATATGAATGATGGCACTTCATGAAGGCCCAAGGCCCAAAGGCGGGTTAAAGCCTTTAGATATAAACCGACATTGATATATGCTTGTATGATAAGATGGGAGTAGAGACCGAGCCGGAAACATTTATGATCCGGCCTCGGGACTCTATAAACCGGTAGGCGTCGACCTATGTATATAAAGGGGCGACCCGGCGACGGTTTAGGAACAACACACGACAACTCGAGAGCCAGGCAACGCAGATTCGCTCCCTGGTCATCAAAACCCTAGCAATTCCATCACAACTGGAGTAGGCTTTTACCTTCATCGTAAGGGGCCGAACCAGTATAAAATTCTCGCGTCCTTTGTCCGCTTTAACCCCTTTAAGCTAACCCGCATCGATGGCTCCACGACTAAGTCCTTTCACAAGGACATCTGCCGTGACAAAACCACGACAGTTGGCGCCCACCGTGGGGCTATCGCACGGTGGTTTGGAGTTCTTGAAGGGCAGCTTCGAAGGGCTCAAGGGATACGTTGTGGGCCGGATGACTAAAAGTCGTCGGGGCAAGCTCTACATCAACGATGCAGGATGGGATCCCGAGGCCGGCTCAATTGAGTACGGGTATCTGGTCCCCTTTGGTGGAATTCACGTCTTCATTGGTAAGATTGGCGAACCGGGCCCTGAGCCGGACATCTGCACCGACATCATCGAGACGGCTCAGCGTGCAAGCTCTGCCCAAGTTCAGCCCGCCGTAAAGCATGCCTTCGTAGGTGTCATCCATGGAGCGGAATATGAGGATAGATCGGCATCTGGTGGCGAAACCGTTGTCTGCTCTGATGACGAGTCTTCAACCGGAGAGATCGAGTCACTGTACCAGTTGCAGGATGGCCGGATTAGTGGAAGTTCCGACGGCGACAGTATTCCGGACCCCCTTGATCTTCCGAGTCGGGTCACGGTCTTCATGGCCGGTACACAATCAGCGCAGCACTCTTCTACTGCCATGACAATGATCTCCGGTTCAGCAACAACAACACCAGCGGGAGCAGGGGGCTCTGTGCCGCCTCCGACTCAGGTTTTGTCCGATTTGTTTGACGCTTTAGCAACATTGCTGGCAGCGGAGGTGGAACCGGCAAACTGGGATCAGCACAACGCAGAGATTGCCAAAGTGAAGGATTAGATAACTCAAGGTAAAGCGGACCTGGCGGCAGAGAACTCCAGGATGGCTACAGAGCGGGCCGAGTTAGAGGCTCAGGCCTACCGGCTTATGCTGGATCAGAGTGCGTCTGATGATGTCATGAGGAGGAGATACCGGTCGCACCTCCCGCTAGTTTTTGAGGCAAGAAATCTCTTTAACACACCAGGAGCGGGCACCAGCAACCAGCCAGTGGTAAACCGGGTGGAGGCACCTGGGACCGGTGCACCGGTTCAACCTCGTGCGATAGATCCGCCACCTCAGCCTCGTCAGAAC